GATAATAATGAATTATAAATTTTAAATATCTGATTCATTATTTTCTACATCTATTATTTGTTGTGCTAAATTAATAGGATCATATTCTCTATTTTCTGAATTATAACCTCTCTCATATGAAGATAATCTATTAATGGCTGATTCAAATAAAATGTTATTGATAGATAAAAACTCAGGTAATGATAAATCAACAATTCGATTAATATTTAAATTATCAGTTAATATTTGTTGTATATTATCATTACTTTCTTCAGCAATTTCTAAATTATCGGGTTGTTGGATATTTACAAAATTATTTACATTTTCTTTTAACTCTTTTTCACTTATATTTTTACCATAAAGTCGCAATTCTTTAGCTGTATTAGAAATATAAAAAGATCTAATTTTTGCTAGAGATTCAATTCATGATAAATGTAATTGTGTACGCCTTTCTCCAAAAAGCCATTTAAGCATAGAAAAATTTCTTTCACAAACAGCTTGTGATGAAACAATTGAAAACAAAAAGATTGCTAGTTCTTGCAGTTGATCATGATCATTTTGTATATTAATACTTAACTACCATTTCATTGGTGTTTCTTTTTGTTGATTATAGCTAAGATTATATGAAGCTGCATTTCATTTCTATGCTCTCATTTCTGATAAAAGGCTTAAACAAGATGATTCAGAATATTTAAAATTGTACCAAATAATTGATGCTGTTTTATATATTTGATTTAAGGCTTCTTGCTTTAATCCATGACCTATAAAATAAATATTATAAAATAAATATAAATAATAAATAAATAAATAAATAAATAAATAAATAAATAAATAAATATTACTGTGATATAATGGGTGAAGCCAATAGGCTAATATATAGTATTCATTAATAAATTCATCAAAACGGCATTAAATTTATTAATTATTAAAGTTTTCCACTAATTCAATGAATCAATTCTGTTAACACCTGTAGCAAGTCTTATTAAACCAATAAAACATTCTGCTAAATTTGTATTCGATGCTTCAAGAATATTAGTTAATTCTTTTATTGGTTTGAGAATAAATGCGATTTGGCAGCATTTTGAATAAAATTCTTCATTTTGAAGTAATTCAAACACATTAGTATTTGAAATAACTTCAGGATAATTTTCTAAAATCTATAAAAGTTATTAATAAATATTTTAATTTAAAAATATTAGATATAAGTAATCTAAAAATTTAAATATATATTATATTTAAATTTTAGTATTTTTTCTAGCGATATTTATATAGATATTACATTATTATACTGCATATAATATCTAGCTTTTTAAAAAAAGCCAAAATAAAAAATTGGTAAAATTTTTATTAACTAGCATTTAAAGCTATACAAAATTAATTTTTTGGTTCTTATAATCTAAAATTTAAAAATCACCTAACAATCCGGTTTTAAAAATTTTTATATAAAAAAGTATATAAAAATTTTATAAACTTCTAAAAAACTTCACTTGGATAGTAAATATAGTTAAAAATTTTTTAAGAATTTTGCTAAATTTGATCCAACCGAATTATGAGAACTAATTTATTAAGTTTGTATAACCTAATACTATTTAAAAAGGATATTTTTAATAAGATATTATATGAAGTTCTGCACAATATTTAGAAAATTATTTTTTAAAAAAATAATAATTCTAAATCATATATATCTATAAGACTATTTGTAATTTAATCTTAGTAATAAATCCTTTTAAGCTTCTAGAAGAAAAGATAACAAAAATAAATAAATAAATAAAAATAATAATCACTTTTTAGTGTAGCGAATTTATTATAATTAACTTACTTTTAGATAAAGTTTTATTTAGAGCTTCTAGTTAAATTGCTCAAAGTTAGTTAGTTAATATCAAAGGTGATATTAACTTAAATTTTAACTTCAAATAGCCTAAATATTTTTAATTATATAACAACAAGATTATATATATTAATCAATTAATAATATAAATTAGACTGCTTAAAGTTGAATTTTTAATTAACATAACTTTCAGAACTCTTAAGAGACTTTAGCTAAGGAAAAGGTAACATTAACCAAAGAATTAACTTTAAACAGCTATAGCAAATTATATAGATATTACCTTATTATTATATTAAAAAATCGATCTTTTAAAATAAATTATTTAAAAAAATCCTTAAAAATACTATAATATAATCTTCTTATAATATAATCTTAGATATATATCTAATTTATAGATTGTAAATTAATATTTTTAGAAAATCTAAAATATATCATAGTGATAAAACAAAGTAGATTTAATTTTTAATATTTATTTTACCTATAGCTTATTTAATCGATATAATATAGATTTAGTATTTTATTATTTGCAGATATATATTAATAATAAATTTTTACCTATTCAATATTAGTTAAATAGACTTTTAGATTAAGTAGGTATTAGCAAAATAAGTCGACAAGAGTGGCTTCTAAAATACAAATTAATAGTACAACTATAGTTATAGCTTTAAAGTATAACTTGTTCTTAAAATAATATTTAATTCATGTTTAAATATATGAGTGCGTGAGAGTGAAAACCTAGAAACTGATCATAGTAAATTATCAAATTAGTTTTCAGGTTTCACTCTCACACACTCATATATTAGATGTTAAATTGATTTTTTTTATATCAAGTTTACTTACAGCTTGTTATCGATAGGTTATTGATATACTAGGATATGTATCATTGCACTGACAATTACTTTACCAACATCTTAGTTCACTGACAATCACTTCACTGACAAGTTCATTTCACCAATAATTAATTTACCGACAAGTTCATTTCACTGACAAGTTTTTTTATAAATTACACTAACCTTAACTCTAATTCTAGCCTGACCTTAATGACAATGACCAGAATTACTTTGTCTGTGAAATGAGCTGTTGGTGAATTAATTGTCGGTGAAATGAACTTGTCAGTGAATTAATTGTTGGTGAACTAAGATATCAGTGAAGTAATTGTCAGTAAAATGAGCACTACCCGATATACTATAGTTATACTATTAATCTGTACTTTAGAACCATTATAGTTGACTAGCAAAATAAAATAAAAACTAGAAAAACAATATATAG